AAAAAAAAAAAAAAGGCTACCTCTAAAAAAAAAAATCCACGGGTCTGTGGACATATTAATAAATGCATAAATGGAAAGTTTGGGTGGAAGAATGTGGGCTGTACGTTGTCTCACATAAAACTTACAAATCAAAGGGAACAAGAGTCTTTACCTTGGAATATCCTTGTTTGTAGGACACACCCAACAACATTCAGGGCACCATACTGGCAATTTTCTCACAAAATTGTTCAGGAGGGAAAAGAGTTCTTTGTACTGTACTTGCAACTTTCCTGTAAGTTTGTGATTGCTTCAAATATATTTTTAGAAAAAAGAAACGCCCTGCACATGTGATCACCTTCACGATGTCCATTTGTCCCCTTCCTACCCCAGTAATCAAAAGCCATCAGGTTTGAGTTGGATCAATATCCTCCAAACTCCCGGCTTCAGACTGGGTCAATGAATGGCTGGAACTAATCAGCATAATCCCACCCATCCCCCACCCCCGCCACAGTGATTGGTTCAGAAATGGTCACTTAGGTAACCCAGGCCTAAGCCAATCAGTGTGTTTTATCTCCCTGCTCACAGAGATTGGTGAAGGGCTGGATACAACTCAGTCCAATTAGAATGAAGCTTTGGATATTTGACACTAGTTATGAGGAGAAATATACTCTTTCCCCCTAGATGTGAAATAATGAATATGGGAGCTGCAAGAGGTCATCTTGAAACCATGAAAGAAGCCATTCTGAGGATGAATTCCACATCCAGAGGAAAGCAGAGCTGAATCACAGAGAAACCAAGCCATTGTCCTGACGTCATCACATACTTCTGGATCAAACCATGCCTGAAACCTATCCCTCTGAAACTTTTTTTTTAACTTTTTAAGTGAAATACAACATTTATAATGAGAAGTGCACAAGTTATAGAGGAAAATCTGTAAACTGAACACATCGTGTAACCAGTACCCAAATCCAATAAATGAATATCATCAGCATTCCCAGAAGGGTGTCCTCTGCTTTCTCCAAGTCACTATAGCCTGTCAAGGGTAGCCACATTCTTGACTTTCAATGGCATAGATCCCTTTTTTCTGTTTTTTTATTTTACATAAATGGAATCACATATTATGTACTCCACGTTTCTTGGTGACCATATACGTCCGGATCTGTCGGTTATAAGCCTAGGCAGATGCTAAGCTGTAGTAGATACTCCGAGTTTCCCAAGGTAATTGTATCATTTTATACTCCCCTAGTAGCGCTTGAGAGTTCCAATTCCTTCATATCCTCACTGACACTGGTTATTGCCAGAATTTTCCACTTTGGCAACTCGGGTGTGTATCTCCTTGTGATGTCTCCTGAGTGGAATCTCGTTGTGTTTTTAATTTGAATGTTCCTGATGGCCAGTGACATTGAGGATACTTTTTCAGAGGCATGTTGGCCATTTGGATATTTTGTGAAGTCTGTTAAAGTCTTTCACTTAAAAAAAAAATTAGATTGTCACATTTTCCTTATTGATTTGTAATTAATGTAATCTGCATATTGTCTTGATTGTTTTAAGCTGGTCTGACTTGGATTTTTCTGTAACTTGTATCCAAAATGCAGCTTCATTAACAAGGAAAGACTCCCAAGTACTTACTTCATTCAACATTTTGCTTTGTCTTTTTCACACCTTATAAGTATCGTGACCATGATTATATTATATTATATTATATTATATTATATTATATTATATTATATTACGTAGGCACAATATTGGGCTAGCATTTTTTTTTTTAAGATTTTATTTATTTGACAGAGAGAGACACAGTGAGAGAGGGAACACAAGCAGGGGGAGTGGGAGAGGGAGAAGCAGGCTTCC